TAAAAAAAAGCAGTCTATCGAGATATTTGGAGGATCTAAAGCGTTACAAATAAAAAGACTTATGAGATTATTCTTTTTATTGGAATATTGGAAAAAAAAATCTAAAAGTCCTATGGGAGTTCCAGATTTTTGTACTAGTACCGTATTACGGTTTTATGTTTTATAGCGATAATTAAAAAATCTTAATGCTAAATTAAAATATTGTATCACTTCTCATTGATCTAAAATCCATTCATTGTTTGAGTACATCGCTTACTATATCTCTAATGATATAAAGTATATTTGATGTTACACAAAAAAGTATGACTCAATATATATACAAAAAAAAACAACTTTTTGTAATGTTCAAAAGCTTATGCGTGAATTATTATCATAAGAAATCGATCAGCCGATTTGAAAAAAAATCGGCCGGCAAAGCTGAAAAATTAACTTTAGCCGATTTTTTCATTATTGGCCAGGACCACTACATTCTATATCATAACCCATTAAACGGGAGAGAAGTATAAAGAAAAAAAATAACAATAAAATAAAATAAAAGCAATGGCATATATATCAACAAATGATATATATACAAAAAAGAAATAAGGAAAAGAGAGGTGTGAAAATTATATTGTTCATAGCATAAAAGCGTACATTGTCGTATTTTTGTTGGGGTACTTTGTGCTTTTCTTTTTTTCTCAGTACCATTGGTTTCCATCATCCCTCTTAACTCGGAATGAATTTACGTAATTTGTGTTCGATGGGTTATTCTTGGTCTGACTTCGAAGCCTGTAACAAATAATAAAAAAATAATAATATAATAGAACGATAAAACAAAGATAAATAAATAGATTAAATAGAAAAAAAAATAATAAAAAATAAAATAAAAGATAATAATAATAATTATTATAATAACAATTATAATAATAACAATTATTATTATTAACTTACAGTCTATCCGAAGTCATAACTCTGTTATTATCTGCGGTTGGAGCACTAGCATCTTGACCTTTGTTGCTACGCCTCGGAGTTTGCGTTAGCCGTGAAGACCCACTTGCGATGGGTTGTTGTGGTGACGCGTTAGTTCGTGTAGAACTAATCCCGGCAGCACCTGAATAAACTTGCTTACTCGAAGGTTTACGATTATTAATCGGGGCGTTTACAATGTTGCTTGAATTATTTGCTTGTCGCATAGCAGGGTGTTGTTTCTGATTTTTAGAATCTTCTTCAGCTTGTTCAGCAACACCATTTGCATCGTCCGGCATTGGCAATGACTGATGGACCTTATTAGCATCTTTTTCCTAAATAATAGAAAGAAAAATATTAAGAAAATGAAAAAATTTATAAAAATTTTATAAAAATTATTATATAATAAAGTTTTCACTTGCATATTTAAAAATTGTCCAGTCAAAAACATAATCATATTGAAAGCCTTCACGAACAAATAAATCCCTAAATAACTTTCTCAAATAGCTATAATCAGGTTTATCATCAAATCGAAGAGATCGTGTGTAGTTCAAGTAAATAGCAAATTCATTAGGAAAAGTACGACAAAGTAATTCCGTTGGGGTAGTCATTTTCTTTTCCATGATACGATCGTATTTCTGTTTCTTTGTAGCAGCTTTGAGACCTTGCCATGGAAGCGAACCACGACAGAAATACATCATAACATAACCTAGTGATTCAAGATCATCACGACGAGATTGTTCTAAAGAAAAAAATTATTGATAAAAGAAACAAAATGGAAAGATAATGATTAAAAAGAAAAAAGAGAGATTTTAAAATACATAATATTATAAATATAAATAAATGTATAAAAATATACATACCGACACCTAAATGAGTATTGATGCTAGCATATCTAGCTGTGCCTGTTAAATTTTTATTTTCTCTATAAGGGATGTGTAAGTGTGTCTTTGGATCGCGATATTTTTTTGCTAAACCGAAATCGATAACGTTGACTTGATTACCGCGTTTACCAATTCCCATCAAAAAGTTATCGGGTTTAATATCTCGATGAATAAAGTTTTTAGAGTGAATGTATTCAATTCGAGAAATCTAAACAATGGTAGTAATAACAATTAAATTAAAAAAAAAAAAAATAAGAAAAAAAAAATTTGTAAACAATTAATTAATTAGTTATTACAATAAATTAATGATTAAAAAATAGGAAAATTTAGTAATAGTAACATACCAATTGATCGGCCAACAGCAGTACCGTTTTCAATGAAAATTTGCGATTACAGAAATTGAACAAATCTTCCAAAGATGGGCCCAATAAATCGATTACCATTGCGTTATAATCGCATTCAGTACCGTACCAGCGGACGAACGGGATACCCACACCACCGGCCAGTGTTTTATAGACTTTTGCCTCATATTCTAATTGTGGATGCTTAGCTTTTGTAGATTCAAGTTTGATGGCAACTTCTTCACCATTAATAATGTTTGTACCTAAAAAAAAATGAAACAAAAAATGAAACAAAAAATGAAAACATTAAGAACTCTGATGAATCGTAAAAAAGCGATAACACAGAGACAACAAATAAACTAGATTTATATCATTATCATTATTACTATTATTATATTATTTATTATTATTTATTATATTATAATTACTATTATTTATTACGACACTATTCGTAACATACCAAGATAAATATCACCAAAAGAACCAGAGCCGATCTTTCTTCCTATCCGATACTTGTTTCCCACCCTCAAGTCCATAGCCATTTCGTACAAATATTAAAGGGTAAAGAGAGTGGTGGAGCTGTTAAAAAAGGTCGTAAGTAAATAGAGAAAAAAAACAAAGAAAAACAGCCAAACAAATAAAATAATAGAAGACTAGATGGGAGAAAATTGCCAATTAAAGAATTTAAAAAAGGAAAGGTTTTTGCGTTTTGGCAATAGTGAAGAGCAGAACGCACTAAGCTTATCCATAAATAATACGAAACGACTGAGATTAAATCTAATTACCTGAGAGAATCCTACTAGTTGTTAAAGGTTAATTAATCCAAACAACTCGGTGGGACGAATGATGAACCGCCGACAAAGTTGCGCAGTAAATAGCAGAGTGAGTAGCGGAAGACGAAAGGCCAGATAAGTCAACTGACTTGAGATTATAAACAAATAATATGGCAAGGGTAAATTTACTCTTTTTTTTTATTGTTATGAAAAAGAGAAACCTATATGTTAAAAGTCAGGACTTCAAAGGAAGGTGGAGTTATTTTGAAGGGATGTGAGTAATAATTATTGTTACGAAAATTTTTGGGGGGTCAGAAAATGCAGTGCTATAGTGTAATTTTGGGACGACGATTTTCCCTCTCCTAGTGGTAAAAAAATACTGATTTTTTGGGGGCACCACATTCATTATTGGAAATTTATTGGACGATACACAAAGCACTGTTAATACTATAATATGACACGTACAATACTATCGGTATATACGTACCGTCGTCGCATAAAACCCGACCAACCAACCGCAGCAAGTACAGAAGTAGAACAAATAGTCGTTTTAAAGAATTTAATTTTATATAATTCTCTTATCTGTTATCACTTAATTGTTTAATAGCATGATTGTTAATAGGGTACACACAGGCATCACACAGTAGTATCACATGCCCCTAAAAAATATCTGAACAAGTGATCATGATACTACGACTGCGACTACTTTAGGTGAGATGCTCGAAAAAATAGGAGAAATTAATGCCTGATACGTAAACGTAATATAACGATAACAGATAAGTCGAAACATGAGAATTTAAGTGTCCAATCTTGATTAATTTATTTTTAACGCAACATTACAGCCACAAATAATATTACCAGATGACTTTTTATCAGATATTTATAAGGCCAATGATATTTCAGTTATTTAAAGGAAATAATTACTCGTCTAAAATACCCCCCAAAAAAAACGCGAGACACAGTATGTAATAAAAGACAGTACGTACGTACGTACGTTTTTCATAATTTTCAAAGAAAATTCACACAGGTGTTGCAGAAAAAAAAATTAAAATTGTTCGACAAAGTACCACACGTCCCTTTTCTAGATATATTATGGTGAATTCGATCGTTGGCTTACGTAGGACAGACAAAGAATTTTTGCTTTCTTTATGGCCAAATGAAATACGAACCTTGTTTCCTGCGAAGATCTCGTACTATCATGATCACGAGAGTAAATGATGATTTTCCCTTTTGTAAAACGACAAAGAGCAATTTTAATTAGGTAAAATAAAAAAAAACTCCGTAATTGAAAAATCCAGAATTTGGCTGAATTTTCTCGTAAAGCCACCAAATCGCTGCAACGTAACTCGTTTACTCCCAAAGGTAGGTATTACAATTTCCTGTATTTCAGTTTATGTTAATTAAGATTTGCCACATGCTCGTTAGCGTGTCGGTTATTATGCAACTAAAAGCCGCCCATCTTTTCAAGTGTGTTTCCGGCAGAGAACGTTCGAATAATTAGGTAATCATGTTAAAATTTCGGCATCGATCTTCATTTATTTAATCGTTATTCGATTGTCATGTGACCGGGTAATTATAACGTTTGGATAAATTTGGCGATTACTGCGACACGTATCTCATGTACTGTGTTATCAATTATTAACGTTATCTCTTAACATTACACAAATGCTCCCGAAAAGGAAATCACGAACAGCAAGTCTATTTTTATATTTCAAGATAATTAAATTTCTTTGATAATCAGCACAAACAAGTATAAATGCGACCAGATTCAATCATTAATATTCCCCACAATATTGCAACATCAACGTCTACAAAATTTAGACAAAGCAAGAATATCATTTAGTTTTTGAAATATTAATAACCTTATGATGATAATACGATGATACAGTGCCTCGCTGTAATGAGCTCTCGACATAGTAAACTTTAGTCGATAGAATGAAGTATGTATTTAAGCTATTATTGAAGTTTTTCTTTTTTTATTCGATGTCTACTATAACGAATGTCACTCTATCAAATACAGAAGTTATCTATAATGTTGAAAACTTTAAAAAACAAAAAATTACCCTTTGGGTTATGACAATTCGATAGAGATCATTTTTATAGAAATTAATTGTGCCAGCGAACTTTGTGTTATTATAGAGATGTTTCTAATGTTCTTGCGGCCAAATTACTGGGCGAGGAAAAGTTTGCTAAGATCTTACGCTTCTGATTAAATCGTCTCGAGATTAGTTCGTGTTATTTCTAAAAATAATTATGGTGTTATATTTTAGAAAATTATTGGCTAAAAATAGAATTTGACGATCTTAATTCACTATACAGTATACTGCAATAAATTGTGTAACCAAATTTATGTAAATCACAAGCCGTTTTTTTAAATTGGCGGGATTTATTTTCTGGAAAGATTTAGAAAATAATACTACATTTCATAACGATAAGGCTATTGCCAAGGTAAAGCCCATAATAATTGTTTTAGGTATTGTGGCGAATCGTGATATTCTCGTGATCCAGTGATCGGAATTGGGTGAAATTTTGAAGGGTGATATATAGCATGGCGCAAAAATTGGCGGTCCTGTGACTAATCCAACAACGATACTATCCTAATTCGTCTAAATATTAATATTTGCTTTAATAGAAATGATACGTACTTATATCTAAATTTTTATGCCAAAAACTTTTACTTAATAACTGAAAACTAGCTTCATAGGGGTTTACTAATTTTCTCCACCACTTCACAATCGGAGTACTATAAAATTGATCAATAGCGCAGATACTCTGATATGTGAATAATTAGTAGAACCAATCAGAAGTGGTAGGGGAAATTAGTAAACTCGCTTCATAGCAAATTTATAAGTTTTTGCGATTCTTATTATTTTTCTAATTTCAAAACAAATGCTCGTTTTGTCAAAAATCGTTTATTTCTCGAAAATTGTATAGTAAACCATCTTCTGTATATTAACAAAAAAGTTTTTCTTAAGCGATTTTACTATTAAAACTTCTTTAACCTGGTGCCTATTATTTAGAGATAGTTCTTATACAGTACACTATATATATGCTAATAGGTTTAGAGCTTATTACTCACTATAAAGACAGTACTTGTTATTTAAAAGTAGTTCTTATATGCTATTTGCTAACAAATTTAGAGTTTATTACTTATCAAAAAAATTATTAACAGTGTACTTAGACTTACTCATTTTATTACTTTTAAATATATATATACAGTATTTTTTTAGTAAAAATACAATATTTATATTTTTTTTACTATTACCCACTTGTGTTTGCAAAATTTTTGTAAAAAGTAAACAAAACAGCTTATTCTGATCAAAAAATCAATATTGTTTATATTTTCTGTTTTTAGACAATCTAGTAAATTACAATTATATGTGTTGTTTGTTAACAAATATAATACTACTTTATATAAGTCGAAGCAAAGTAAATTTTCTGGTTTTCATATCCTGGCCAGGTAAATTTTTGCTAATTTAAAATTTAAAATTTTTTATTTAATAACCAATCAAAATACAGTACAGTCTATACAAACTATAAATACACTTCTAAATTCTGTATAATATAATGTAATTGATGATATATATAGATAGAATTAATTTATTTAATGCTAAGTCATATTATTTTCTCTTTCTCTATCCTCAATAATGTGCACTTATAGAGTATTACATAATCGGTTTGAATAAATAAAAGTATTGCATATATGCACATACATACATGGTATATTTATTTGAACACCTCTAATTTAACAATAGAGCTATCGCTAACGATTGTTATAATCTAAATAAAGCAACCAATTAAAATTGTACTTATCTGAATTCTCTCTAATGGTGTTAGGAATAATAGCAACTGTATAAGCTCAATCTTTGAAAGAATAATGACAATAACAATAAATAAAACTTATCGTTATCTTATATGTTAACTTTATTGAAGAAATATGATTGCTGATTATATGTTATAATAACAATAAGTACATACATATGTACAAAAGACTAAGTTAATGTATATATATATAATCGTGGCTAATTTTGCATGAGAATGAAAACCTGAAACTTATCATAGTTATGCAACTGCAAGTTTTCGCTCTCATATACTCATTTAATACTAATTAATTTATTCTGCTTAGCATATGAAATCTGCAAACAGAAGAATAACAACGTCAATATATTGTTATACTACAAATTGATAGATAGATAAAGTAACGAGATAATGCCAGGCCCTATAGTTTGCAAAAATATATTTGAGATTCTTATAAATAAAGAGTGATATTAGTAATACGTACAATTTGGCATTTTAACTTTAAAATTACTAAAGAATTCATATATGAATTAATAAAATAATACTTACCTTAAACGCCTTATTTTTTTTTTTTTTTTTTTAAACTGATATCACAGGTGCTAACGCTTTATTGTGTTTTTATATGTTTATTTATAAACATTTTCTGGTATATTGATAAGCGTACAACTAGCTACACATACAACTTTTGGTTGCCTATTTAAGTAGTCCGCTCGAAGGTTCTACACTAGCTGCCATACCTGCAACCTGCT